TATATATATATATATATTGTAAATAAATTAAAAAGATGTAAATGTAAATTGTAAACTCATGTTTCCAATATAAAGTTAGTGTTGTTTTCTAGTCAGGTTTTCTGGAATTATTTTAAGGGGAAATGAAAAATAGACTCAGGACAAGAGACTTAAATGCACATAGGTGCATACGGGAAACAGTTTTGGAAATAAACTCATTCATATGTTATTTGTCTAAAATACCCTTTATAATATAATTTTTATCAGTTCCATCCATTACACTCTAATTTTATCAATATTGCACATTGACCCCGGATTTGAACAAATATACTCTAACCCTCATTTTCATATTTTTTAAAAAAAATATATTTTTCTCTGAATTTTTTTTACGGTAAGATTCCAGCGTTGACTTTTATTTTATTTTATTTTTTTTTCTTTTCTGAAACCTTTTTTTTCTGACCGGTCAACTACCGTTGACTGCCGGTCTCCGGCGTGACGTTTTTTGTTTTTTTTTGAAACTTTTTTTTTCCACTCTAAATTAGTGTGTTAACAAAATTATTGCATGAGAAAGTAATATTGAATACCAAAACATTAATATTACTAACCCAAACACTCGTGAGTTATGATCAAATTACGCAAAAATCCCCTCATATTGTGATAATTACAACTACCCCTTCAACTATGAATCTTCTTACACGTCCACCCTTATGGTGTCAAATGCAACATCAAATTCAACATAATCTTCTAGATTCCATGGAATGTTCTCTACTTTATACTCATTTTGTGTAACAATGCAGTTTATCGTGCACCACAATCTAATATATACAAGTCAAAAAACATATCTTATGATCATCTTGCTTCATGATGTGGAGCTCGAATGTGATAAAACGGGTACAAAAGTGAGAATATTCCATATAATCTAGAAGATTCCACTAAATTTGGCACCTCAAGAGAACGTGTAAGAAGATTTATAGTTGAGAGGGGTGGTTATAACTTATAAGTACCAAAACATGAGAGAATTTTTCATAATTTGATCATAATACCTAACAAGGTGATTGGAATTTAATATATATATATATATATATATATATATATATATATATATCATCTTTATTTTACCACATTCCTCTGATTATTGGTTTAAGTAATTTGTTGCAATGATTAAATGGGAACAATAATAAAAATTGTAGGTTACTTACTCAGTAATTGTTGAGTTGTCTGCAATAAATATTATTGACTACTACTGTAGCAACAAATTCTTATTTGCAATTTAAACAAACAAGAACAACTTGCACAAAGATAATTTATCGAATTAAAATAAAATATTGTGGGTTACAAACTCTAATTTAATCATCTGATTCTTCTCTCAAGAACAATATTTGTTTGACTTTGAATTTTGGAGTCGGGTCATTGACTTGATCTTCTCCGGATTTGATTTGGATTTGAATAACGTCTTCCAAGGATCTTGCGACTTGAATCTCGGATCTAACGCTGAACTTTGACAGGTTTTAACTTGAAGATCTTGGAGTTCTTGATGGATTTGGCCCTTCAATCTTCCTTCCACTTGATTTGTTCTTGAAGATCTTGGAGTTCTTGATGAATTTGGCCCTTCAATCTTCCTTCGATCTTGATTCGTTGAAGAACGCCCTCGATTTGATGAAGAACGCCTTGAATATTGTAGAGAGAATTTTCTCCTACGGTTTTCCTTCTTCTTGAGTTGTGTTTTGAATTGTGTAGGAAGGGTCCTTATTTATAGTGGTAGAATAAGAGTCCTACATAAAGTCTTCTTGATGACGTGGCGTGATTTGATTAGCTCTCATTAACTTATTTTGCAAGATAAATTATAATATAATTTAGACACAATTTAATTGGCTAATTTAATTAATCAATTAATTAATTTTATGCGTCTACAACCACATCGAACATTTTTTTGCCAATATCAATTTGTATTATATTTAAATTATTGAATTTTTCTCTTGAATTATATGTTATAGTACAGTAATTTAATCTTAAAAGACACCGTACGGATGAAATACGAGTAACATGTAAAAATCAAATCTTTTTACAACGAAAAACATGATTACTTTTCTGGTAATTCGCAATATTTATATTTTGCTGAAATGCTATTCACAGTGCAACTTTTACCACCTTGCAGTGCACTTTTGGTTCATTTGTAACTTTTTTCCAAAAAAAAAAATAATCCTCTCAAACTTTTTACAACACCTTTCGAATTCCCGCGGATTAAACAAGCAATCCGACAACGATTTAATGTAAACTCGAACTCCATTTCGTCAATTCAATGTTTTATAGTTGTATATTAACAAATTTCATCAATAATCGGTACATGTTCATTAATTCGAAAGTTATCAAAAAAAATTATGCGTTTCGTGAAAAAAATCACGAAATTAAAGAACGAATTTTGTGATTTTTTCGCGAAACTATGACTATCTTTTATTTCTTCTACGTTTCGTGTATAATACGATGAAACTAAAGCTTAAATTTCGTGAAAAAACTTACGAAATTTAAGCTTTTCTTTATGTAGTACTATGCATGAAACTTGTGTTTTCTGGCGTTTTGCTCCCATTTTGTGGAAAAAGACACGAAATTTGTGCTTAAATTTCGTGAGATAACTTACGAAATGTAAGCATAAATTTTGTGTGTTTTTCCACGGAATAGTACATTTTTTAAGTTTTTATTTATTTGTTTTATTTATTATTATTTAGACTCGCTTGTTTAGTGTCTTACTTAATTGATAGCGGACAAAGGCAAGTCAAAGGACTTATGCGAGCAGTTCGTGATGAGGTCAAACATCACGAGCGCGAGCGCGAGCGGATGACTATGTCTACACGACGTAGGCGAGAGGCTGAAAGAACTGGTGAAGTCAGATAATCGGTTGCACATGCCAATGTCGGGCCTTCCCGTGCTATGGAGGAGGAGAATGCGGTGGACCCCGTTCACGAGACCGAGGTTGTAGCTCATGGAGGTCGAGCACGGGGCCGTGGAGTTCGTGGTGGTTGAAGTCATACTCGTGTCAATCCGTATGTGCTAGATGGTCCATTTGCCGGTGGCGCGCGGGACGGTCTTTGATTCCGAGTTTCAAGTCGCACGTTGCGGCATATATTTGGAGGGGAGAAATAAGTTAATTACTTGTTTTAATTTTCATATTATAATTTTTTATATCTTATATAAAATATTTTAATAGTTGATTAACTAATATGTGTTCTAAATAAATGATTGCAGGAATGTCCGGTTGGACGAGTGGAGTCCCGTATCAGCTCCCAGTCCCATTTCAACTACGAGAAGATTGGAGATGCCCTCGCCCCGTTAGGCATAGATGTCACTGCAGACAAGCATTTTCTGCGGATGACCGATTTGTACACCCTAGCCCGCTCTTTCCTACCGCGCATATATGGTCCGTTCGTGGAGGGGTGGCAGCCAAAGACGAACAACTTCCATATGCCGTGGGGAGAGATGACTATCACTCTCCACGATGTCCAGATGATACTACGTGCCCATTTGGAGGGACGGGTGGTCGCGCCTAGGTACGACGAGAGCATCGAGCGGACAAACTCCGTGCATTTATTGTCCGGGATTATGAACCTCGATTTTGAAGAGATTGACGAGGCATGGAAGCATGGGGGCCCCAATTATTTTACTAATTTAATTTATTATTATTACGAACTATTTAATTTACTAGTTTGTTTTGTATTTTAATTTACTAGTTTTATGACTAATTTCATGAATTTAGCAACTACATACAAGTGTAGCAATTAAAGTACAAATTTAAACATTCCAAAACATAGCTTAAACATTAAAATAAAAAGCAAATAACCTTACAAATTTAATCATTTCAAAAACATAAGTTAAACATTAAAATGCAAGACACAACACTACAAATATAAATATTCCAAATCTTAAGTTAAACAATAAAATGAAAAATTAAAAAAAAAATACAAATTTAAACATAAGTTAAACTTTCAAATACGGCAGATGGATATGATTACCATTATTCACACTCTATCGCCATAATCCATCATCCGTTGATTTTGTGCCAACTAACTTGAACGGACAAAAACGTTTCTTCAATAGTTCGCGTCGTCCACATTGATATCTTGCACACGTTAAAACATGATGTTTCTCTATTTTACAATAATTAATCAATTGATGATTATGACTAATGGTTGTGTCTTTTGCCCACATAATTAACGCTTCTCTACTATCACGTTGAAAGAAGTGACTATGATCGTGAGATTGTTCTCTTAGTTACTGCATAAATATTTCAAATTAAAAGACAATATTTAAGGGATTTCGTATGACATTACACGAAATTGAAGGTACAATTTCGTGTATACTCTTACGAAATTGTACCTTCAATTTCATAAGTTTTATCATGAAATGTAATTAAAGGTAACATTTTGTGCCCAAACGTACGAAACAAACAATAAAATGATATTAAGATATATTTCGTGTTGTAGTACACGAAATTAAAGAGTGCATTTCGTGAGAAAAAATACGAAATACGTAAAACTGTTGGAAATGAGCAAAAAAAGTGTATTTTAATCTCAAAATCGAAGTCGTTTTCATCCATATTGATAATATAGTTGTGCTCAAACTGATATTGTTAGAAAAATTAATGGATTTGTAAAATTTCAAAAATTAAAGATTGAGAGTATTTGAGAATGAATTTAGAAAAAAATAAAATAAAAAAGAAATTATTTTGCATTGCGAGTGGGAAAAACCGCACTGATAATTCATAATAGCAAACCACTTGTATTTATTTAGAATCACAATAAAAGAGAAAAACAAATCTCGTGATTACGAGTTACAAACTTACAATAATGTTTTCACCTCCGTAATAAAATAATAAAAGATTAAAATATCACCCAAACTTTCAACCTTTAATCATTCTTGAATATTCACCAAGCCACAATTCTTTCATATTTTAGGCGCAAATTTGGACTTGATCTTCACAACATCCTCAACGTCGATTTGAAACGCCTTGCTCAGAACATTATCCGGCACCGGCGGCGCAGCCCCAAACAAGGTGGTGGCGATGGACTGTGTCCCGGCGAGCTGGCTGTTGAAGGCGACGATGACGGAGGCGGTCGAATTCCGGTTGTTCTTCTGGAAGTGGACGAGCCCTTTGGGGAAAACGAAAACCTCACCCTTCTTTATTGTCTTGGAGTACAAGATATTTGCGGTGGTGATGAAACCCACGTCGAGTTCTCCTTCCAGCACGAACACCGCCTCGGTGGCGCGTGGGTGGACGTGCGGCGGGTTAAGGCCGAACGGGGCGTAGTCGATGCGGCCGAGGGAAATGCCGAGGGTGTTGAGTCCCGGGATTCTCTGTACGTTGGCGGCGGTGACAATTGATCCGACGGTGTTGTTGGTGGCGCCGGCGTTAGCTAGACCGGCGAAGAAGAAGTCATCCGCCGTCACGTTTGTCTTGCAGGCGAACCCGTTTACCTTCACGGCTGTTTTAATTTGACACACAAACTGATGACGTCAGTATGACGAAAGCAATCCAACAATTAAAAAGTACTACTAGTAAATACTAAATATTCTGCATCCCACCTCAATAAATCACTGATTTTTTTTTTTTTTTTTGTATTAATATCGGAATTTTCATATCAATTTTAGTATGAAATTGTATTGGAATTAATTAATTGAATAATTATATTAATTAGTCCATTTCATAACGCATACTTGATTTGACTGCTAGTAAAAAAAAAAATACGGTAAAAAAAACAAACAAATATCACTTCATTTTTCAAATTCTTCTTATGAAATGCATGTTTTCCAACAACTTTAAATATGATTTGACTACCTAGAGTGTATTTTGTCTAGTCTCAAATCATAAAAAAAAAAAAAAAAAAAAAAAAACCAAACATTAGTTTCACTCTCACATTATTAATCTCTCAAAACATAATTCCCCTAAATAAAATAAAAATAACTCTCAAAACCAATCCAAACGTTTCCCTTATTTTATAATACTAAAAACGAATATATTAATAATCTTATTGACTAGAATAGTCACCATATCAAGTTGCAGAAAGAAAAAAAAAAAAAAAATAGAATAAGAAGGATTACATTTCAAAGAATCCTATAGTTAAAAATTTAGATGAAAATATGTGGCACAAAATTTTTCCAAAAGAGATAATTGAAAAATTAAAGGGTTTATTTATTACCCAAAAATAATTATACATAAATATATATATAATGAAGGGGATATAGATAAATACGAGAAGCGAGATCAGCAACACATATATCTTGAAGAGAGTCTGGATCTGCAGAAACTGTGCTGAACGTAGCCAAAATCACTGCCACCATACAAATTACACAACTGCCATTACCCATTTTAAATATTAATTCTTTCAAAATAAACAAGAGTGTGCTTTATGTGTGTGTTTGTATGTGTTTGTGTGTTGGATTATTTATAAGCCAAGAACTCGAGGACTTGTTCACAAATTTAATATATATATTATTGACTTTAATTTTATTCTTTTCTAAAACTATTTGGTTATAGTATGGAGAAGCACGAATGCCTTTCACGAAAGGAGTTGATGAGTTCCCTCCCTAATTACGTGCCATGCACAATATGTTCTCGAACCTTTGTAAGCTTATTATTTAAACCGATGCATAGTAGGGGGAGTAAATGATCTGAACTATTTTGTCCAGGCCCAAATATAAGAACCCAAAGCCCACCATATACTCTTTTCTCTCTTTCTTTGGGCCCAGCCCACTCTCCTTTTTTTTTGGGGCACACTCCCCAATACAACAGGGAA